GTCCATTGTGTGGCCCATACTGTTGGGTCAACCAATGCCAGTGGCGTACACACAATTTATGGGGCCCCGGTGCAAAACCGATCCATGGGGTCCCCCATCCTCTCCCACCACCATCCCATACAGACATACACATACATACATAGACACACACACACACACACACACAGACATACAGACACATACATAGACACATACAGACACACACAGACATATACACACACTTACATACAGACACATACAAAGACACACACATACAGACACACACACACAGACACACACACATACAGACACATACATAGACACACACAGACACACAAACATACAGACACATATACAGAGACACACGCATACATGAAGACACACACACAGACACACACATACAGACACATACACAGACACATGCACACACATACAGAGACACACACAGACACATACATACAGACATACACACACATACACTAACACACACACATGCAAAATATTTTAGTCACCCTCCTATTACCTATCTTTTAGGTGCAGGAGGGTCCAGTGGTGGCTCAGGTTGATGTGAGTCAGAGTTCCCACTCTGACTCCCTCTCCTTAATCCCGCGCAGGTCCTGGTGGTTCCTGGGAGGAGTGACTGCGGCAGTCACTTCCTCCCAGCGTCTGACATCAGAGTGGGCCCAGTCGCGCTGTTACCGGGCCCACTCTGATGATATTCATTTCCATTGGGTGGCCCTAATAGCATGGGCCACCCGATGGGCCCGTTCACCTGCGGCCCCAGCAATTATACTGCGTGGCCGGGGCCGCAACACATGGCAGCGGGCACAAGGTTGCAGGGGTCCTCAGGGTGGCCAGGCTCCCTGGAGTAACGTGCCCGGTCGCAGCTGCAACCCCTGCGACCGCGATATGTACGCCACTGCCTGATGCTATGTAATTCCAAGGGGCCCAGTCAAGGCTTTAACAGTGCAACCGGGCCTGCTGTGATGACATCAGAGGCTGGGAGGAAGTAACTGCCCCGATCACTTCCTCCCAGCAACCAGTGGGAGCACAGTGGGAGGAAGGAGTGGAAGTGTGTGTCTGTCTGTGTGTGTCTGTCTGTGTGTCTGTATGTATGTGTCTCTGTGTATGTATGTGTGTGTGTGTGTGTGTGTGTGTGTGTGTTTGTATGTATGTATGCGTGTGTCTATGTGTATCTGGTTTCATGTGTGGGGGGAGGGGGTAATATATGGGAGGGGCACAGTAGACTTATGTGATGAGGGTGGCGGGGGTGTGTTGATGTACAGGAGTGGGGGCAGGGCAATTTTCCCAAACGGTGCCCCGTGGTTTCTAGTTACACTTCTGAGTAGAGGTAAGTAAAAAGCTTACCTCTGATATATTTCCTCGTTGTAGTCACCTTGCCGTCCCATGATATTCTATGACAATCGTGCACTTTGGCATCTAACACAAATATTGTACATACACAAGCACACTTGCCATTTTCTCTAGCAAGGTGTGGAAGTGAGAATGTATTTACTTTAAAAGAACACTGTATATCTTTAGCTTAATGAAGCAGTATTGGTGTATAGTTCATGCCCCTGCAGTCTAACTGCTCAATTTTCATCCATTTAGGAGTTAAATCACGTTGTTTATACAGCCATTGGCACACCTCCCTGCATGTGACTTACACAGTATTTCTTAACACTTCCTGTAATGAGTCATCTAATGTTTACACTTCCTTTATTGCAAATACCATTTAATTTAGAGTTTCCTATCTCCTGTTAGTAGCTTGCTAGACCCTACAGGAGCCACCTGTTGTATTTAAAGTTCAATTTAGAGAGCAGGAGATAAAAACGGCTGATTGAAAATCAAACCAAGTTGTTTTCATGCAGGCTGTGTCAGCAGGGCCGGTGCAAGGATTTTTGCCGCCCTAGGCAAAAAAAAAATTTGCCGCCCCCCCCCCATATGTCCTGCCCACCATGTGACATCACAATGCCCATATGCTCTGCCAACGCCAGTCTTCAGTCTTGGGCCAACGCCAGTCTTCACAAAGTGTCTTTTATCTGAAAAGACAGTGTGTTTACATTAAAAAGTCTACAGGCACAGGCTATAGACACCAGAACCACTACATTAAGCTGTAGTGCTTCTAGTGACTATAGTATCCATTTAATGTGAGGTAAATTAGAGATTAGTGCCACTAATAATATATTGGATTGCCTACTTACCACCAGATGAGGACAAGAGGCTGATGATGGGCTCTGCCTGGCTCCACAGGTCTGGTGTAGAAGAGGCTCTCAGGAGACTGTTTTTAACAGTGCTCACAACAATTAGCGAACAGGAAGCAGCTCCATGTTTTAGGGCCCCTTACACAGCTCAAGGTCTGGGCCCCCGGGGCTTGACCGTGAGTATGCCTACAATGCCCACCCATAAATCCAGCTACATGGCCCACCCATGAGTTCTCTCACAGGAAGTGGAGTGTATGTGTGTAGGGGATGTTTTATGTGTTATTGTAGAGGATGCAATGTGTGTGTGTTCTTATAGAATGTAGTGTATAGGGATACCAATTTCTGTAAGGGATGTAGTGTGTTTATAGGGGATGCAGTGTGTGTTTGCGTGTAAGGAATGCATTGTATGTTTCTGGGTGTGTGTGTGTGTAAGGGGTGCAAGGTGTGTTTCTGTGTATTTAATTGAATGCAGTGTGTGTCTGTAAGGGGTGCATTGATTGTGTAAGAGATGCATTTTGTTTCTGTGTGTAAGAGAATGAGTGTTTGTGTGAACGTATGGGATGTATTGTGTGTTTCGGGTGTGTCTGAGTAGGAATGCATTGTATGTTTCTGTGTGTGTGGGGGGGATGCATTGTTTATGTGTGTAGTGTAAAAGAGAGGGTTTGTTGGGTAGGATAGAGACTGAGAGGGAAACTGCTCTTTATTTATTTTTTTCATAGTGCTCTCCCCCCCTGTCAATTATTGATTTCCCCTTCCCTCCGTGTTCTCCCCTTCTGTCTCTTAGTGCTCTCCCTTGGCCCCCTGTAGTCCCCCCTTGGTGGTCTTCTCACTCCCCCCTTCCCACTTTGCGGCCCTCCCTCTCCCAAACCCCTTAGTAGACATTCCCCTCCTCCCCCCACCCCCTTAGTGGTAATCCCCCCCCAGTGGTCATTATCCTCTTTCCCCTCACCCCCCCTTAGTAGTCCTTTCCCCCCTTAGTGGTCCTCCCTCTCCCAAACCCCTTAGTGGACCCCCCCTCCTCCCTCAGTGGTCCTTACTCCCCACCCCCCGTCCCCCTGTGTTCCTTCACCCCCCCTTCCCCAGTGGTTCTTACTCCCCCTCTCCTCCCCCAGTGGTTCTTACTCCCCCCATTCTTCCCCCAGTGGTCCTTACTCCCCCCCTCCTCCCCTAGTGGTCCTTACTACCCCCATCCCTCTCCTCCCCCAGTGGTCCTTACTACCCCCATCCCTCTCCTCCCCCAGTGGTCCTTACTCGCCCCATCTCTCTCCTCCACCTGTGGCCCTTACTCCCCCCCTCTACCTTCAGTGGTCCTTACTCACCCCCTCCTTCTCCTCCCCCAGTGGTCCTTACTCCCCC